ATAGTATTGAGAACAACATAACATAACACATAACATACCATCACGCTTTTTATCCCCAAAGGGATAGGCAGAGGTGCACATTATGCAGAGGTGCACATTATACTGTACAATGTAACACCCACTTTTCACTATTTATGTTATGAGTCCCACGTAATAGGGGGTGAGCATATTGCCATATACCGGGCACAATTCCAGACTCCGTGCTACTACTGAGAATTTTAAAAAAAACCCAGTTATAGTTTGCTCGATCCGGGAATCGAACCCGAGACCCCTTGCCCTTTTGAGTATTGAGAACAATCCTCCAATACCACAGTAATGCAGGTAATATCGCTGGCAGATACTAGCGAACGAATATATCCTTTATCAAGGCAAACGGAGCGATACATGAATAGCTGTATTTTGACATAATTATCTGGTTTCCATTTCAATTTGAATTTATTTCCGTACGGAATTTACAAACAAGATAAAATAATTAATGTAAGTTCCTGTATTTAAATTTTGATAAAACTTAATTATAATCTTTTAAAATAAGTACATGACATAACATAACATCACGCTTTTTATCCCCGAAGGTAAAGGCGCAGGTGCACATTACGGCACTTAATGCCACTGTACAATGTAACACTCACTTTTCACTATTTATGTTATAAAATTAATGTAATAGGGGGTGAGCCTATGGCCGTATACCGGGCACAATTACAGACTCCGTGCTACTACTATGAATAACTTCATTTCAGTTTCCTTATAGGGTATATGAAACCCACGGGAAGAGTAGCGATGGTGAAAGATAATATTGTACACTGTCGATATGGTGGAGTTGTGGGCGACTTAGCGGGTTACTTCAGATCGTAGCAGAAGTAGGAACGGGGTGGTGTTTAGTCAGTAAGAGTCTGACACTCCCTCTCGCCTCAAACAGGACGGGAGAAGCCATTGGATGATTTTCTCTCGTAAATAAAAATCTAATAATAAAAACCGGTCTGTATTCAACTGGGTGGTCTAACTGTATTTAAAAGAAAACAATAAGATAAGTATTTAATATTCAAAGAGCGTAGTTATGTATTTAACCTTAGCAGTTTAGTAAGAGTAAAATCGATAGTAAACAATCAGTTCAGTAACCATTTTTAACTGTATGACTCATATTTAATTGACGAACAATTGGGTAGTTTCCTGGGTCAAAAATAAATTATTTTTATTTTTCAATCCAATTAAATATTGAAAAATAGTTACCTACACTTTCATTCATTGATTTGTCGATATACTTTGTTTTTATTTTTGATGGGCCGACGTTTGACCACTATCTCGCCTGGTGGTAAGCGATGATGCGGTCTACGATGGAGCACGTCGTCCCATAAGTAGGTAACCTATTCACTCGGGCCTTGAAGACACCCAGGTTGTACCCTTCAGGAAATACAGACTCTGGTAAAGAATTCCACTTTTTAGCAGTACGCACAAGGAAGCTTAATATACTTGATTTTCGACGCGTCGAAATTAATGACGCGAAAATATGATGACGTCATAAGATTTATTTTTTATCATATAAGATTTCATAAGTAGAACAGTATCGTTTTTGACGTTTCGATAAAAGTATTGAATTTGACTAGTTGTCAACTACCGTATTGTAAGTCGTAGTGGCCCGAAGTTTAAGATACCCAATTCACATGCATCAGCATGCGAAACCTGGCAGAGGCGGAATAAACCTAGAAAGCGCTCTAGACAAGCACGTCATAGGCGCCTTTTTTTTTTTTTTTTTTTTTTTCGCGCCGTACGCTCGGGCCTGGTTCTGGGGGCTTACTCTTGAATCCAATTCCGATCGATCGACATTGGTATTGTGAAATTTCGTACTCTTGAGTCGCAACACTAGCGCCCATTGCACCCGTATTGCGGGAATATTGAATGAACTAAATGGTATTGAGTTTGGCTTCATATTCCGTACTCTGAATGCTATTTTAACAGCTACGATAGGAGTTGTATAGTTTTGACATTGAATAATTATTGAGATTTTATTGGATTGAAATTGCATAGACATTGAGATTGGTTTCAAGAGTAAGTACCCTGGTCGGGCGGCGAGTCACCCGTGCTCGTCGTCCGCAGGCCCGTGCTTACGGTGGCCGGAGATCGTCTCGCGATCCCCGCACGCCCGGGGTTTGAGGAGGTTCGTTCCACGCGCTCCGCCTTCTCCTTAGGTAGCATGACTGCTTCGCAGAAGGAGTACTCTACTAGTTTCGAACCACAGAGACGTCGCCACGACCGCGCACACTGCTTATGAGGAAGAACCCCTCTGTGGTTTGAAACTAGTAGAGCTTTTCTCAGTATATTCACGTGAGTAACCCGCGATTTTACTTAACATAATAAATTGTTTGTCTACAATGAGAAATTACTCATTTCATAATTATCTGGCGACGTTATTTTTTCTATTTCCCTATTACTCAAGTTTATTTCCTTTTTATAAAACTAGCTTTGTTCCTACGGCTTCGTTCACATAGAATTTAGATTTCCGTCGATTCGTTTCATGTATATACATGTACTAGCTACTTCCGCGCGGTTTCACACGCTCTGCTCAGCTCCTATTGGTCGTAGCGTGATGTTTTATAGCCTGTAGCCATCCTCGATAAATGCGCTATCCAATACAAAAAGAATGATTTAAATCAGACTTGTAGTTACGGAGATTAGCGCGTTCAAACAAACAAACAAAAAAAAACAAACTCTTCCGCTTTATATAATAGTATTAGATAAGATATGGGAACAAAAGTAGCCTAATGTTAATCCCTGAAAAGTAAGCTTTCCAATGGTGCTAGAATTGTCATAATCGGTCCAGTAGTTTCGGAGTTTATTCAAAGCAAACAAACAATCTAATCATTCTTCATAATATTGTTTTTTATATATTATTGTGCTCTTTATAGAAAAACCTTGACGGAGGTTATTATACTTGTCTATGCCTTTTATATACTTAGACTAATATTATGTATGAAAACCTCGTTCGCCGAGTGGTCGCAAGTGCGACTGCCGGGACAAGGGGTCTCGTTCAATTCACGGGTTGGGTAAAGCATTACTGGGATTTTTTCAAAAAAATCTCAGTAATAGCACGGAGTCTGGAAATGTGCCCGGTATCCGGTATATGCCAATAGACTCACCCCCTATTACATGGGACTCATAATATAAATAGTGAAAAGTGGGTGTTACATTGTATAGTGGCAGAAAGTGCCCTAATGTGGAGTTTTCTTGCTCGTTCTTCTCCATAGGAATCTATACCTCGGAATGAGCAACTAGCTTGACTTCTAAATTTTTGTTGTTGACGTTCAAAATTCCCTTCTGGTTTAATGGGGATGATGACAGGGTATAAAAATTAAAAATATAATTAGTCCGTAAGTTAGGTAATGAAAAAATATTAGACACGTATTTTTTTATTTTGTCGTATAATAAAACAATACTAAGATAAAACGAATCAAAGTTTAGGAGTGGGGGCTAAAACGTCATTTCTTAGTATAAAATGTACTGAGAAGTGACGTCACGCGACATTTCAAATCAATATATCTTCGAAACTATTCGTTTCTGTGAGAAAAGAAAAAATACGTGTCTAATGTTTTTAAATAATCTACCAGACGGACATTAAAATAAAAATTAGTCGTCTACCCTATTGAAATAAATGATTTTGACTTTGAATTATTTACGTACACACCTAGCAATGATTGTCATTGTACAGACACTGTAATATTATTACCGTCGTACAGACGTAACGGAAAATAATATTAAAACAATAGGTTACGAGAGCTGCTTACTTAATTAACTGTATTATAAACAAAGGTAATTACTTTGCAATGGTTTTTCAATTACATTGTAACTAGCTTTACCCGCGGCTTCGCTCGCGTCCCAAAAGGATAAAACGTAGCCTATGTGACATATACCAAGACACACAGCGCCATATATACCAATACTTTTGTTTTCCCTCGGGAATATCAAATTTTTTCGGGTTAAAAAGTAATCAGAAAGTGAGTTTGTTTGTTTGTTTGTTCCGCTTTCACGCCGTAACTACTAAACCTATTGCTTGGCAGATGTAAAGTTAGAAGTCTGGATTAAATAATAGGGTACTTTTTATCCCGTAAAAATTTGATATTCCCGAGAGAAAACTAAAGTATTGGTATAGATGGCGCTGTGTGTCTTGGTATATGTCACATCGGCTACTTTTTATCCTTTTGTGACGCGAGCGAAGCCGCGGGTAAAAAAGCTAGTTGAAAATAAAACTACAGTCACTTTTGACAAAACCAAAGCTAAAACCATCACTTTGAAACTACATAGGACCCACTAGACCCGCATAAAACCACATGGAACAGGACTCAAACCTGTTAAACTTGCACTACATACATACATACGTACATACATAATTATATTATATCTATAATGCTGTTTACGCATAGCCACATTACACGGCTACTCATCAACCCATATCAAACCAGTATAAAATGACCGTCTTTTGTGTAGAAAGATCATACAACGGGAGACCATGATATACTGGATTTTTTAACTCGATGTGTTGCTAAAGTATGGTTATTATTAACCAGTATAAGCTGACCGTCGAATGTACGGAACGGTCATACAACGCTAGACCATGATACACTAGTTACGTATAGCTCCACGCATCAAGGTATTAATGTCCAGTATAAGCTGACCGTCGAATCTACGGAACGGTCATACGAAGCAGGGTCATAATAAATTGGTTTTGTATAGCTCCACGCATCAAGGTATAAAAACCAGTATAAGCTGACCGTCGAATGTACGGAACGGTCATACAACGCTAGACCATGATATACTGGTTCTGTATAGCTTGATGTGCTACCGTAAATGCAATGTGCATGGTCAGTGAACTTGACATGACATGAGTGCAATACTAATAGGGAATGATGCGCAATGACGTTACCTTGAAACAAGCTATTAGACCTGTGTTACAGTACCCAGCAATAAAATCGACCTTTGGATTTGATAGTAATCGTTCAAGTCACCGCTAACGAGTAGAATACTTTTTTTATGGCATAAGCCGGTAAACGAGCACACGGATCACCTGATGGTAAGCAATCGGCGTCGCCCATGGACACCTTGAATACCAGAGGCGTTACAAGTGCGTTACCGGCTTTTTGGGGATTAGGAGTTTGAGGATCTTTGGGGATTCAGGGATTGGGGAGATTGGGGAAGGGGAGGGTAATTGGGCCTCCGGTAAAATCACTTCCACGACGAAACACAACGCAAAAGTTGCTTCACGTCGGTTTTCTGGTATCACTCCGGTCGAGCCGGCCCATTCGTGCCGAAGCATGGCTCTCCCACACAGAAAAACTCTCTTTGCCCGAGTCTGTGTTTCCTGAAGAGTTTAAAAAGGATATAATCGGAAAGTGAGTTTGTTTGTTTGTTTGTTCCGCTTTCACGCTGTAACTACTAAACCGATTGCTTTGAATTTTTGCAGACGTAAAGTTAGAAGTTCGGATTAAATAATAGGGTACTTTTTATACCGGAAACATTTGATTTTCCCGAAGGAAAAAAAGTATTGGTATAGATGACACTATGTGTATTAGTATATGTGACATAGGCTAATTTTTATCCTTTTGTGATGCGAGCGAAGCCGCGGGTAAAAGTTAGTAATAATTAATTTAGTAAATATAAATACCTAAATGGTAAACCCGCGTAGAAATATCTAGTTTAAAATAAATCTCTGTCTATGTCTTCGGGGATTAAAAGCCGTTATGTTATGTTGCTATAATACTATATAGGTAGTACGCAAAAGATATATACGGATATACGACTTAAATAAACAGGTTGTATATTTTAAGATGCTGTATAATGTATTAGCATACTTACATACTTTTAAAATTGATTCGTATCGATACGTTGGTCAACTAAAAACTGACGTTCTAATATATTCTTTAATACATTTAATAAGTGTGTTTTGATACCGTTATTGTTATCAATTATCGTGCTAAACACGCTTTCCGCTGACTTTTTTTATGGCATAAGCCGGTAATCGAGCTGACGGATCACCTGATGGTAAGCAATCGGTGTCGCTCATGGACACTTGGAACACCAGAGGCGTTACAAGTGTGTTACCGGCCTTTTGGGGATTAGAAGTTTGAAGATCGTTGGGGATTAAGGGATCGGGGAGATTGGGGAAGGGGAAGGTAATTGGGCCTCCGGTAACCTCACTCACACGACGAAACACAACGCAAACGTTGCTTCACGTCGGTTTACTGTGAGGCCGTGGTATCACTTCGGTCGAGCCGGCCCATTCGTGCCGAAGCATGGCTCTCCCACACTTAAATACTGACTGTTTCTATGTAAGCTTAGGTCTTCAAAACTAGGATTTGGATCCGGTACTGTAACTCCAGAACCACTGGACGGAGTTTAATGATCTTTAGAAGTAATTATTAAACTATATATACTATATTAATATATAGTAGAAAACTATATATACTACTATATATATTAATATATAGATACATAAGTATTATGAGTATCATCTGGCAGGGGTAAATCATCGAATGACTGCTCCCACCTGAGTGAGGCGGGAGGGAGTGTCAGACTCTTACTGACTAAAAACCACCCCGTTCCTACTCCTGCCCTTCGAGACGGAGCCCCAGGACCCCGTTAAGTCCTCCGCGGCTCTGAATCGGCATCAGCCCTATTGGGGCCCCATCCGTGGTGGTCTGATGGCTCTTTGAGGCGTGCGCAGAACGCTCGGCGCCGTACGCTCGGGTCTGGTTCTGGTCGGACGAGCCACCCATGCTCGCCGTCCGCAGGCGATCATGTGGCAGGGTAGAATACAATTTGTACCACGCTACTTTTCCCGTGGGTGTCGTATACCCATCATTTAGGTATATCACAACAGTTTCATCGTGTGATGTCGTACAATATGGCCTCTAGATACTTATTATCCAATATATAACTATGTATTTACCTTCAATATAAACAAGCGAGGTACGTAATTATATCTACGACTCAAGGATTATCAATTTTTTACGATTACCAAGCAAAATCTCTGTTTCTTGATTGTCTCACGTATGTCATCATAAGAATGCATATTATATTTGACAAGGAAGTAAATATTATAAAAGACTTTTCTAGAATTGAATAACATAACATAACATCACGCCTTTTATCTCCGAAGCGGTAGACAGAGGTGCACATTATGCCGCTGTACAATGTAACACCCACTTTTCACTATTTATGTTATAAGTCCCATGTAATAGGGGGTGAGCCTATTGCCATATACCGGGCACAATTCCAGACTCCGTGCTACTACTGAGAATATTTTAAAAACCCAGTAATACTTTGCCCGACCCGGGAATCGAACTCGAGACCCCTTGCCCGTTTTGAATTGTATAGTTGGATGTTATCACGGAATATAAAATACTCTATATTCCGTGAATGTTATCTACAACAAGGATGTTGAAAACAGACGAACATAATGTCACTTGGAATTTTTGAAGCACCAAAATGTCAGCGGTGTATTCATGTGTGCGTGTTAGGGTTGCCACCTTTATTATTGCGTGATTTTTGGTATTTAAAGTACATTGACGATTATAGGTAAGAAAAAAAAGTACACAGTACAAAAATAAAGTACAATTTATTCTTATTTAGTATTATATTTCAAAATATATTTTTGTTGCTTTTTGCAGTTTGTATTAAATTAGTACCTTTACTAAACAATTGCATTGAAATACTAAACAATTGCATCTTTACTATAAAATAATTGTCTAAGTGGCGCTGGCGAGTGGCGAAATCGATTCAACATAAATCGATAAATTTACCGGAAAATACTTACGACTTTAATAGAAATGAAGTTTGCAAAAATAAAGTATTTTCGTGTACTTTATTATTCTTATAAAGTATAGAGTACAATTACCTTAAATAACGTACAATACTTTATTATAAAGTACTGGTGGCAACCCTAGTGTGTAGGTACCCGTAACAGGCGAATTTAGAAGGAACCAGATCACGAGGCAGGTCACCTATGCGCTGGACTGATCAAAGTCGAATTAGCAACGGGAAACCCAGTGTCAGACTAATGCCCAATTACGCTCCCCTTCCCCAATCTCCCCAATCCCTGAATCCCCAACGATCCTCAAACTCCTAATCCCCAAAAAACCGGTAACGCACTTGTAACCAGGTGTTCCAGGTGTCCATGGGCGACGCCGATTGCTTACCATCAGGTGACCCGTCAGCTCGTTTACCGGCTTATCCCATAAATAATAATAAATAAAAGCAAAAGAATTCTTGAACCACTCTATCTATTTAAAAAACATCCATCGAAATCCGTTGCGCAGTTTTCAAGATCTAAGCATACATAGGGACAGACAGAAAAAACTGCTTTATTTTATAATACGTAGTAATGTGTGATGGAAGTATGAATTAGCACCTCGGTAGGTACATTAGTTACGGATATCAGTACTTACAAACAAACCAACACATATATTCATCGAGATATATATTTCCAGTATAACATGGCCTCGCATTGTATAATCTTTCTACATATGCGAGGGTCAGTTTATACTGGTTGTTGTGTAGCCGCGTGTATCTATTATGTTTTGTTTATTTTTAAAATTGACACAGCCATGTGTCGTTCGGTATCATGATATCACAGTTTAAATATCGAATAGGCATAATGAGGTAGAAGTCAAGTACCTAGATTATGTAAGGTCGGGGCTACAAAGTCAAAGTCAAACCATAAATTTTAATTGTACTTTTTTTTTAATAAGATGTTTATTTATGTGTTTTTTTTTCTTTTTCTGTTATTGTAACAGTTTGATACTCTTTGATTTATATTTGTGTGTGTGTGTTAATGTAATTGGTGTAAAGCCGTGTTAACATCACAATAATAATAAACAAATAAACAATAATAGTTTATCAGTCTGTCCGTCAGTGAAGCTCGGTGCTCGTTCGAAAATATAGACAACTGCGGACAATGTAGAGCACCCTTAATTATTCCACCTTTTTTTACTAGGGCCAAAAACGTTTCAGTCATGGCATACCGGCCTAAGCGAGAAACATAACATAACATCATGCTTTTTTAATATCCTCAGTAGTAGCCCGGAGTTTAGAAATGTGCCCGGTAAATGGCAATAGGCTCACCCCCTATTACATGGGACTCATAACATAAATAGTGAAAAGTCGGTGTTACTTCTGTGTGCACCTCTGCCAACCTCTTCGGGGATAAAAGGCGTGATGTTATGTTACTATACAAGATTAAAAATACATATTAACTATATTCTGGTTAAATGGAAAAGTGAAATACTAAAACACAGACCGAACAGACAATATGATTACAGAAAGACAAGGCAAAACAAAAAAAACTAAATAGGTACCTATTGTAGGCTACTTTTATTTTAAAAACCTCCTTTGTAGCGCGCGATAGAAAAATGGTGGTAACGTAGAAAATTCGCGTCCGCGCTAAAATTCAAAATTCGAAGCCCCGCCCACGCCTCGTTCGAGCGGGCCCCGCGCGGCGCGCTCCCGCCAACAGTCGCCGCCGTAACTTTGAGTGAGTGCCAATTTTCTCGGTTTTTTAATTCGTTGTGGAAACATCCAGCCCTAATCTGTTCCATCTATTCAAAAATTTGAGGCGTAAGCTCTTTGCCGAGTTCATACAATTCAAGAAATGACAAGGTAGTGTTTTGTCTTTTAGTTCCGACCTTCGAATCACTCGTGCTCTTATAGGAGCGAAATTTATAACAGAACCGGGGCATAGAAACTTCAAGTAAGTCATCCACAAATATCTAGGTCCAGGTTGCCGGCTTCGGCAGGAGCAGGAGTAGGACCGGGGTGGTGTTTGTTTAGGCAGTAAGAGTCTGACACTCCCTCTCGCCTCGCCTCACCGGAAAATCATCAAATGACTTGTCTCGCATTCCTACAAAATTAATAATATGATTCGCTATTAAATCTGTTGTTTTGTTGTAATTTAATTGTACCTACATAATTACTATAATATTATTTATTATACACATATAGGTGTATGTGTATAATTTAATCATAATTAAAAATAATTATTGCAAAATCGACATCGTAGTCATCAAGTTTAATAATCGCTTTGTTTAAAAAATACATAATAACAAGTTTTTTTGAGGTCTTCGGATATATAGGCCATTATAGTCCACTGACACTACTGCCACCCTATGGGTCTCCCACAATCAACGCTTTACAGACGGGGTTTTTTTAAGGGGGGAATAACATCAAATATCTTCTTGGCGAACTGTGTCAGACTCTTACTGACTAAAATCAACCCCGTTAGTTCTCCTGCACTTCGAGCCGTAGTCCCGGTAACCTGGTTCTCCGCTGTCGTATCGGCATCAGCCTTATTGGGCCCCATCCGTGGTGGTCTGATGGCTCTTTGAAGTGGTGGTTCGCCGTAAGCTCGTGTCTGGTTCTGGCAGTTGTAGCCAAATGCTATTTAACGCTTGTCTAATTGTAGAATAGAAAACTAAATTATATGGAATTAACGTAAATTTTGACACTTGTCAGTGTCATCCCCATACATTTAGTTTTCTACTCTCTCTCTGTAGACAAGCGCTAAAGTGGTGTTTGGCTAAAGGCACTGATCAGGCGGCGATCTACCCATGCTCGCCGTCTGCAGGCCCGTGCTAAAGGTGGCCGGAGATCGTCTTGCTAGGTAGGTGCTATATAGGTTTATCAAATAGCCCTGTTACCAGGTCTGTCAAATGAACAGTATAAATACACTAGTATTGTGATGCAATTACTGACTGCCTGCCTCGTAGACTGTCTCGTTGGCCGAGTGGTCGCAAGTGCGACTGCTGGGCAAGGGGTCTCAGTAGTAGCACGGAGTCTGGAATTGTGCCCGGTATGGCAATAGGCTCACCCCCTGTTTCATGGGACTCATAACATAAATAGTGAAAAGTGGGTGTTACATTGTACAGTCGCATAATGTGCACCTCTGCCTACCCCTTTGGGGATAAAAGGCGTGATGTTATATTATGTTGTGGTGCAATTACAAAAAAAAAATCAAGTTCTTTTTACATTTTTTCAAAACCGGACCTTAAAAAAATGCGTTCACTTTCAAAATGCAGTATTTCAAGGTATTCGTTTTAACAAGAATGCATTCGGTATTTACGTAAGCAAGTACATATAATGACTGCACGGTTGGTGCGGTGGCTGGGCAACCGGCTGCCGTGCAACGTGTCGCGGGTTCGATTCACGCACGGAACAACACTTTGTGTGATTCACAAATTGTTGTTTCGGGTCTGGGTGTGATGTGTATGTGAACTTGTATGTTTGTAAACGCACTCACGATTCCTAATCCCCAAAAAGCTAGTAACGAACTTGTAACGCCTTTATTGTTGCGGGTGTCTGTGGGCGGCGCCGATTGTTTACCATCAGGTGATCCGTCTGTTCATCTACCAGTTTAACCCATAAAAAATAAATGAAAAATGCGTCTCTATCGAACCCTGTCGGGGATTACAAACTTGGTATTACTAAATACGGAGTGACGTCACAACATTTTCTTTTATTTGTTAATATCACCAGAAAAGTATATTTCTTCATACACGTTTGCCCTTTAAAAACATTGCATTATTTATTTTTAAAATCTGTCAAGTATGAGTCGATTATATAACTTGGATTCCGTACAACGTTCATTTTTAAAAAGGTATTATAACCGGCACTGTACTTATTATATACTAGCTTTTACCCGCGGCTTCGCTTGCGTCACAAAAGGATAAAAGTAACCTATACAACTACACACAGCGCCATCTATACCAATTCTTTTGTTTTCCCTCGGGAATACCAAAATTTTCCGGGATAAAAAGTACCCTATTATTTAATCCGGACTTCTAATTTTATGTCTGCAAAAATTCAAAGCAATCGGTGTAGAAGTTACGGCCTTAAAGCGGAACAAACAAATAAACAAACAAACTCACTTTCCCATTTATAATAGTAAGGATTTAAACCTAAGGTCACCGCGTGGCAGAAAGCCCTATGCTTAAAAGACTGTGTTTCCACTCTGGTTAAGTCCCTGCTTCGTTTCCCACAACGAATGAGATAAGGTTGCAATCCTTTCGGTTTTTACTGGATAGTGTGACCGGTGAGTGGGGAATTGCACAACTTGATTCCCCCTAGTCCTTTCCATCATCGTACCACACACAAGACAATCCGCGAAGCATCACCGATTCATGGTATATGTCCCACCCACACGCACGAAGCGCTTCGCATCAAGCTTCCTTGTGTATTGAAGCTTCCTTGTGGAGTAGAATTCTTTGCCAGAGTCTATATTTGTTTTATGGCATAAGCCGGTTAACAAACGGATCACCTGGTGGAAAGAAATCGGTGTCGCCCATTGACACCTGGAACACCAGAGGCGTTACAAGTGCTTTACCGGTCTTTTGGGGATTAGGAATTTGAGGATTGTTGAGGATTCAGGGGTTGGGGAAAGGGGGAGGGGTAATTGGGCCTCCGGTAACCCCATTCACACGACGAAAAACAACGCGACGTTGTTTCACGTCGGTCTTCTGTGAGGCTGTGGTATCACCGGTCGAGCCGGCTCATTTATGCCGAAGCATGGCTCTCCCACACTTAAAATGCGAAATTAGAACCGTATTAAAACCTGATTTAAAAAAAAAAATGTAAACAACACACACACAATGCAGTTTTACCATTGAAAACAAAACCAAGATATATACCGGTCTTTTGGGGATTAGGAGTTTGAGGTTCGTTGGGGATTCAGGAATAAGGGAGATTTTTTGAAGGGTAAATATAACCTGGGTGTCTTTAAGTCCTGAGTGAATAGGTTACTCATGCGATGATGCGGCCTACGATGACGCACACTTAGCTCTATCGTATGTCGCGGAGAACCTAACGGGTAACCGGGGCTCCGGCTCGACGTGCAGGCGAAGGAACGGGGTGGTTTTTAGTCAGTAAGAGTCTGACACTCCCTCCCGCCTCACCCAGGCGGGAGCAGTCATTCGATGATTTTCCCCCCTTAAAAAAAAGCTCTATCGGCCGCATCATCGCTTACCACCCACCAGGCGAGATACTGGACAAACGATGACCCATTGCAATTAACACAAGGACCCCTAAAACCAAAACTTTCACTGCGACCAACGCAATGAAACTGGTTTTTTGAAATGCATGTTGCACATTATATCATCTTAACAGGCATTCCCCGAATGGGTAGGCAGAGTGCATAAGCCTATGAATAATTTCTGGGTGGTATTTAATACTTTAACTGTAAATTCCCTTTTTACAATCAAAATATTCGAAATTAGCACCAAAAATACTGAATTACACACTAAATTTGCTCATCAAATAAATCAATTATACTATACTGTTAAGAAAGAAAGAAAAAACATTTATTTAGCACCCGGCACGATGCAGCATAAATTAAAAAAAAGACAATCAAGATGTGACAGTGGAAGTAATAAAAATATAAGAGTTGAAAAATTGAAACAGAAGAATTAGAAAAGAGACGCTGACAACATGCCTATGCTAAAAGGGTCACCCACTCAGTGTAAGCCAGGCATACAGGTTACCCAGCACTGATTTTCAGTGGGCACCCATGCAGTGACGTGTTAGATCTTTAAAGCTTAACTGTTTTAAATGACTATATTTTAACTAAAAGTAAATCTAATAATTCTTCGAGTGCAACAAAATAAATAATTATTATATAAAAACAACAAAAAAAAAACAAACCTAACCTCACCTAATATTGAACAATTAGCATGCAAATCAGTATTTTTAGCCATAAACCGGGCACAATTCCAGACTCCGTGCTACTACTGAGATTTTTTTTTAAATCCCACTCGGCCAACAATGCAGTTTGATAAATAAATACTATTAATTCTGACTTTATCTTCAAATTACGATCTTGATATATTGCAAAATCATACAAAATCGTAACCTACATCCTTATATTTAATGCATATCTTGATCATTTTAAGCATACAACTTGTCAATTAGGCTTCTATAATAAATGCCTAGCACTATGACAAGACTTATTTTGAAAGCTGCACTCAATTTACTTATGAATTAGGTACTCTAGAATTGGTCCTTTTAGATTTCAAAATGTTCAGACAGACCATATTCATTATACTAGCTGCACTCGCGCGGTTTCACTCGCTCTGCTCGGCGCCTATTGATCATAGCGTGATATTTTATAGCCTATAGTCTTCCTTAATAAATTGACTATCTAACACAAAAAGAATTATCCAAATCTGATCAGTAGTTCCTGAGATTACCGCGTCCAAACAAACAAGTTATAAGATTTTATATTAATGTTATAAAATTGTAGAGTTTGTTTAGACGCGGTAATCTACTAAATTACTGGTTCGAATGAAGTGATTATTTTTGTGTTAGGTTTTTAAATCTTTGGAACGAGAAAATTGGGATGATGACAGGGTATGAAAATGAAAAATATAATTAGTCCGTAAGTTAGGTAATGAAAAAATATTAGACACGTATTTTTATTTTGTCGTATAATAAAACAATATTTAGATAAAACGAATCAAAGTTTAGGAGTGGGGGTAAAACGTCTTTTCTACGTATAAAATGTACATAGAAGTGACGTCACGAGACATTTCAAATCAATATATCGTCGAAAGTATTCGTTTCTGTAAGAAAATAAAAATACGGGTCTAATGATATAAAATAATCTACCAGACGGACATTAGGCATCTACCCTATTAAAAATACTGAATAACGTACTACTTGACGGGAGATGTCCAGGAGCCCGACAGAAAAATAAGATGAAAACCATGGTATAATGATACTTCCCAATTCCACTGTGTAGTGACGCCAGAATAAATAATATAAAGATGTCACCACCGCCACTCTTGCCGCGGGTGTCGTATACCCGACTAAGGGTCTCATTTGACAGAAAGAGAGACATTTTTTTAAGTAGAGAAGGTCCATGATTCAGGGCTGTTGCTGATGATGATTCATCATCATCAACAGCCTATAAATGCCCACTGCTGAGCAAAGCCTCTTCTCACACGGAGAAGGTTTGAGCATTAGTCACCACGCTTGCTCAATGCGGGTTGGCGATTTCAAACTTATAATTAGAAATTATAAGCCCAGGTTTCCTCACGATGTTTTCCTTCACCGTTTGTCAGTGGTGTCTGAATAATCTTAGAAAGTACATATAACTCGGAAAAAGTCACATTGGTACTTGCCTTTGGTAGGTTTCGAACCTGCACCCTCATGCGTGAGAAGCGGGCGTCTTAAACCTCCGGGCCACCACGACATATGATGATTATGATAATGATAATAGCACTAATTCCCAATATTATCCGATTTCAGAATGAACTACGGGGTAGAAAAATCACCTTTGTCACAGGCACCAGTCACTCGCGAGAAGATGGAGAAGTGGGTGGACGCCCAGGTGAAGGGGGAGAAGGCAGACATAGACGTCTACGGGAAACCAACGGACAAGATGCTGAAGGAACTGGAAAATGTCAGGAACCTCAGCAAAGAGTTGCAGGATAATCTTCACGTGAGTTTCCATAACACATAACATAACATCACGCTTTTTATCCCCGAAGGCAGAGGTGTACATTACGGCACTTAATGCCACTGTACAATGTTACACCCACTTTTCACTATTTATGTTATGAGTCCCATGTAATAGGGGGTGAGCCTATTGCCATATACCGGGCACAATTCCAAACTCCGTGCTATTACTGAGATTTTTCGAAAAAATCCAGTAATTCTTTGCCCGACCCGGGAATCGAACCCGAGACCCCTTGCCCGGCAGTCGCAATTGCGACCACTCGGCCAACGAGGCAGTTTCCATAACTATTTTAATTATCTTCTTCCCCTTTAATAATATCTTCTGATTTATATCGTTGCGGGAACCAAGACAGTTGTTCATGTCCCTGGGACGCGCCGGACTTCAGTGTTCCGGTGTTTGCATGATTGTATCTACTGTAGATCCTGGCTTACAGGAGTTGCGGCGGTTTTGGGAGACCGTGACGTGCTGGTCCCATTAAAAAATATAACTATTTTATTAAGGGCTACTAATTTCGCCTGGTGGTGCACGATGATGCGGCCTACGCTGGAGCACGTCGACATAAGCAACCTATTCACTCGGGCCTTGAAGACACCCAGGTGCCTTTGGGAAACATAGACTCTCACAATGCGTTCCATAGCTGTTCTTATGCAATTTTCTTATTTACCTCTTTTACCCCGAAGGTAGGCAGGGGTGCACCATACGGCACTTAATGCCACTGTACAATGTAACACCCACTTGTCACTATTTATGTTACGAGTCTCATGTAATAGGGGGTGAGCCTATTGCCATATACCGGGCACAATTCCAGACTCCGTGCTATTACTGAGATTTTTCGAAAAAATCCAGTAATACTTTGCCCGAGTCGGGAATCGAACCTGAGACCCCTTACCCGGCAGTCGCAATTGCGACCACTCGGCCAACGAGGCAGTTTCCATAACTATTTCAATTATCTTCTCCTCTAATAATATCTCCTGATTATTTCGTTGCGGGAACCAAGACAGTTGTTTATGTCCCTGGGACGCCCCGGACTTCAGTGTTCCGGTGTTTTCATGGTTGTATCTACTGTAGATCTTGGCTTACAGGAGTGGCAGCGGTTTTGGGAGACCGTGGCGTGCTGGTCCCATTAAAAAAATAAAACTATTTTATTAAGAGCCACTAATTTCGCCTGGTGGTGCACGATGATGCGGCCTACGCTGGAGCACGTCGACATAAGCAACCTATTCACTCGGGCCTTGAAGACACCCAGGTGCCTTTGGGAAACATAGACTCTCGCAATGCGTTCCATAGCTGTTCTTATGCAATTTTCTTATTTACCCCTTTCACCCCGAAGGTAGGCAGGGCTGCACACTACGGCACTTAATGCCACTGTACAATGTAACACCCACTTTTCACTATTTACGTTATGAGTCCCATGTAATAGGGGGTGAGCCTATTGCCATATACCGGGCACAATTCCAGACTCCGTGCTATTACTGAGATTTTTCGAAAAAATCCAGTAATTCTTTGCCCGACCCGGGAATCGAACCCGAGACCTCTTGCCCGGCAGCCACTCGGACGACGAGGCAGTCTCAAGAATATCTTCCTGTTCTGAAACGTTTCCCATTCTAACATATTCTTCTCCAATTAACAGGAATTAGAAAACTCGGTCCGCATTGCTGAGGTGGAGAATCAAGCAATGAATCCAACTGCTCAAATCCTGGACTTCTCAGAAGACCATGAGTTCGTGCCCGACAACAAGGACACTTACTACGCAGAAGAAGATAAAGTGGATGCCAAAGAAGAAGAGAAGAAGAAGCTAACGAAGGGTAAAGGACCAAAAACAGAGATACAAGAGTTTTATAAGGATCAGTGTGTGTTTTTGACGGGGGGGACTGGATTTTTGGGTAAAGGTAAGTCGCATGGCTTTTTTTGAAAGGTTCTAAGAGTTTCTGTGCAGAATATTATAGATTCCTTCTTAACTCGTTGAGTACCGTCATTATAGACACAATTAGAGAACAATAGGTTGCTGTCACCGGTGACCGCTTGGTGTTTGACAGTTTAATATTAGGTCCCTTTGGATAAAAAGTTAATAATGAAAACACGACAAATGGGATGATGACAGGGTATGAAAATTAAAAATGTAATTAGTCCGTAAGTTAGGTAATGAAAAAATATTAGACACGTATTTTTTTATTTTGTCGTAAAATAAAACAATATTTTGATAAAACGAATCAAAGTTTTGGAGTGGGGGGCTAAAACGTCATTTCTACGTATAAAGTATAGATAGAAGTGACGTCACGCGACATTTCAAATCAATATGTCGTCGAAAGTATTCGTTTCTGTAAGAATATAAAAAATACGTGTCTAATGATTTAAAATAATCTACCAGACGGACATTAAAATAAAAATTAGGCATCTACCCTATTGTTGATGTGTATTAGCTACTCTGGCGCAGTACCACCCATTTCTACTCAGCTCCTGTTGATTGTTAGCCTTAAAATAGTCTACAGCATAAAACAGAAACTTTTGGACCTAAAAAATAATCTAGACAAATGCCTATCGATATTAATTATCGTTTCGGATTACTATAAAACCTATAGAACCGCTGTACAAGTATCATACGTTCTATAATAACTATCGTGAGACATACTAAATTACCTAAAATCGATGGTTACTCACGTAAACATACTGGGGAAAGCTCTACTAGTTTCGAAACACATAGGGGCTCTGTGGTTCGAACCGCCACCGTCGTGCATGGTGCTCATGAGGAAAGACCCCTCTGTGGTTCGAAACCAGTAGAGCTTTTCACAGTATGTTCACGTGAGTAACACCATGATTTTTAGTTAATTTAGTATCATAAGAATCGTCAAAAGGACTCCAAAGACAGAGACCGGACAGCAGCGCTCTCTGAGTATTTAGTACACGTCTGATTTCCGTTTAAACTTATCGAAAGGAGTACGCGTTCGGCACTCTGATTGGCGGGCGCCAATAATCCAACCAATTAGAGCGCCGAACGTGGTCTAGTTACGAATACTTTAAACGTAAGATAAACTTGTACTAAGGCTTCTGATTGGCCGTCTCCAATGAACCAATTAAATGAGAGGCTCATATTCATGAGCAGCATTTTGCGACCCGCGAATCACGACAGAGGGCGCGCTGGGCCCGCAGACTCGAGTAGTCAGTAGCAGCGCGACAGTCGCCGCATGAGCCTCTAGCATGGCTTGAAACTAGTCGAGTTCCTCGTCAAATTATTACGTGAGTAAGCCGAAAACAATAAAGTTGATGAGGTATATTTTTTTTTATAGAAAAGGCTACGTGATCGACGGGCATTTGTTTATATATCTTGGTTTTGTTTTCAATGGTAAAACTGCATTGTGTGTGTGTGTGTGTGCTGTTTACATATTTTTTTAAAAAATCAGGTGTTTTTACGGTTGTCAGTACGCATTTTAAGTGTGGGAGAGCCATGCTTCGGCTCGACCGGTGATACCACGGCCTCACTGAAGACCGACGAAACAACGTTGCGTTGTTTTTCGTCGTGTGAGTGAGGTTACCGAAGGCCCAATTCCCCCCCCCCCCTTTCCCCAATCCCTGAATCCACAACAATCCTGAAACTCCTAATCCCCAAAGGGCCGGTAACGCACTTTGTAACGCCTCTGGTGTTCCAGGTGTCCATGGGTGACGCCGATTGCTTACCATCAGGTGATCCGTCAGGTCGTTTACCGGCTTATATCATAAAAAATTATATGTGTATTTATTTGTTTATTTCTCGTGAAATCACCATGAACGGAAGAATTTTATGTAAATAGTTTGTTAATTAACTTAATAGGTATGTACGTACGCGTATTTTTTTAATCAATTTAAATGTATTCGAATTTTAATGTGGAACAGTTTTAGAAGCGTTCTGTTTTTTTTTCATAGATTTTTTTTTCTTTTAATTTTTCGAGACGTTTTTAAAATGAGTTTATATTCGTAAATAATTCGTATAGGCTTTAAATATATTATTAGTTACTTAGTATGCCTGATTATTTTTTTTAGATTTAGATTAGAATGACTGTTCCCGCCTCATCCAGGCGGGTAAATAAAAAAAAGTATAATTATATCTGTAAGTAATTAGAGTAAAGAAAAAAAAATTTTTTTTTTCATAAAACACTTAAATATCGACAAAAAATTTGAATGTCGAACTTCATAATCTATTCAGTAGATACGGTACTACGTTTTACGATTATGTTCAATAGTCATAGATATACCTCATTTAAAAAAAAAGTGAGCATAAAGAACGTAAAAAGGGTCATCTCTACTAGAGCTACCAAAACTAATAGATCTATTCATTATTAAAAATATAAACAGTAACAAAAAAAATATGTACAATTTTATGATACACTAAAACTGCGTCGTTGGCCGAGTGATGGCAAGTGGTCTCGGGTTTGATTCCCGGGTCGGGCAAAGTACTACTGGGTTTTTAAAAAGAATTTCAGTGGTAACATGGAGTCTGGAATTCACTGGAAGATTTTTTTTAAATCCAGTAGTAGGTACTTTGACCGACCCGGGAATCGAACCCGAGACCACTTGCGACCACTCGGCCAACGAGGCAGTTTTAGTTGTACCTATCATAACTTGTACACAATTTACTTTTCCTTTCTATGTATTACTGTTAACATATATTTTAGCTACATAAAACTGTTTAAAAATAATATAATCCAATCGAAATATGATCGCCTCGCCTGGACTTGACCTTTGATACCAACGCGGAAAGGTCTAGTCGTACGGTCTAACAACTGCGTCAGACGGTCAATTTTAAAAAAAATCGCTTGTCATAGCGCTCATTCATTTGTTAAAAGTCATTATGACTGTTGAATAAATATTAAAGTACAACTTTATGTTTGTTTAGTTAGTTCATTTACCTTTAAAGAACTATCTAGCGACTCCCGCGCTGTTACGCAGTCGCGGAGAACCTAACGGGTAACCGGGGCTCCGGCTCGACGTGCAGGAGAAGGAACGAGGTGGTTTTTAGTCAGTAAGAGTCTGACACTCCCTCCCGCCTCACCCAGGCGGGAGCAGTCATTCCATGATTTTCCCCCCTTAAAAAAAAGCGCTATTACACCCTCTGCTCGGCTCCTATTGGTCATAGCTCATAGATAGCGTTTTTATAACCTGTGCCTTTAGCCAAACGCCACTTTAGCGCTTGTCTACAGAGAGAGTAGAAAACTAAATATATGGGGATGACACTGACAAGTGTCAACATTTACGTCAATTCCATATAATTTGGTTTTCTATTCTACATGTAGACAAGCGGTAAATGGCATTTGGCTATAGTCACTGTTTCGATGTATGGACTCTGACATACAAAAAAAGTCAAAGTCAATATCAAAATGATTTAGGGGGCTTAATCTTGAATCCAATTCTGATCGACATTGGTATTGTGAAATTTCGTACTCTTGAGTTGGAACACTAGCGCCCATTGCATCCGTATTGCGTGGATATTGAATGAACTAAATGGTATTGAGTTTGGCTTTACATTCCGTACCCTGAATAACTATTTTAACAGATACGTAATGTGCATCTCTACCTAGCTCTTTGAGGATAAAACGCGTGATGTTTATATCTATGGTCCTTATAGCCGGGGTAACCATCTAACAAAAATTTGTAAAAAAGTACCTACATACTTAAACTGTAAAAAATACCTAGTATGTCTATTAATAATAAAACAATATCTATATATATATAAGAGAATGTCGTGTTAGTTACACTTTTTATAACTCAAGAACGACTCAATCGATTTAGATGAAAATTGGCAGGGAGGTAGCTTAGAACCAGGAGACGGACATAGGATACTTTTTATACAATACTTTTTTTTTACTTTTTACCGAAAATCACGAACGGGAACGGGGGGAAAATGGGATTGCGCGTACGGAGTCGCAGGCAGAAGCTAGTTTATATTATAATTCTTAAACCTTGAGATGGACAGACAGACAACAGGATAATTTATAAGTAGGTAGGTATTAAAATGCATTTTCCCTAAAGAACTTGTTTAAAAAATGTAATTACATCAAAACAACGAGCGTAAAATACGTTACCTTGAAATATAGAAATAAACACGATTTTAAAAATATGTATACTTTGTTTTGAGTATAAAAAACATGTATATTTTTTATATATAACTAAAAAACCGGTGTGACAACGTTTTCTATGAGATTTATTCATATTTATAAAACCAAACTAGGTACTAAATAATACGTATAAAACCAAAAACTAGTTTTTCAATTTAGATTTGTCTCCAGTAGACCACGATCTTATAAAAATATTGGGATAAAATGTAACCTATGTTACTACCTGAAAAGTGACCTTTTTAGTGTGAAAAAAACATTCAAATCGGTCCAGTAGTTTCGTAGTTATTTCAATGCAAACAAACTATTATTTTTTTCCTTTAATTAGAAAGAAAGAAAGAAAAATCATTTATTCAACAGTAGGCACGCACACAGATACAAATAAATATAAAATTAAAAAAGAAAAGAACAAATAAATACAAATTTTTATATAGATATAGAAAAAAAAAACACAAAGAAACGATAGCGTATAACAACACAGTGACAATAGAAGAATTAGTGTGTGCGTAATATTTTCTTTTTATAGCTAGCATAGTTAATTAGACGAATATTTATATCATCGATTTTATTGCGGGTAAAACCTCAAAATGCGGTAAAACCTCAAAAGAAATTCCAAACAGTAAAACCCCATCGTTTATAAAATTGTGATTTATGTGATCTGCTCCCCTAGGCAAGTGGCATAAAGCATAAACTAATCGAATTGAATAGTTTCCAGGGTATCAAAATTAAAAATCTAATTAGTCCGTCAGTTAGATATTGAAAAATATTAGTCATGTATTTTTTTATTTTCTTGCAATAATATTTAT